GAAAACAAACGATTTATTATGATATATATATATATATATATTATCGTTTATGTGAGATATATACAAATCCTCATTTTATATTATTTTTTACTATTGTTTTTAAAACAAAGTTTTTGAAATTTTGTATAGAAAATCGATTTTTTATTGATTGTATTGATAAAAATATAAATCTGCTAGACAAAGACTATATCTATATATACATATATATATATATATATATATATAAATCTACTACATAAAAGATATTCATACATATAATATAATAGGGCAGTGGTCCAATTAAAAATTGTTCAATTTTAAAAAATAACTTAAATTAATTTCTAATTACACATGTTATGTAATATTTTAGGTGTTTTTAATATTATAAATATACATGTTTAATGTTCTTTTATATAAAATATAAAACTATAAAAAAATAATAAATATTATTTCGCTAATTAAGTATAATCGATATTAAAATGATAAACTAACAACTCATTGTCGAACTGTCGGATAAATTATTATATTATAAGTAGATCATTATGATCATAGAGTTTCATTTAAGTTCCAATGGCATCTGTTCTTACTTATAGTTATGTATGTCATTACAATAAATAAAAATCAGCGTCAGATTTTTTCGTACTTTGATCTTTTTCTTAAATAAATTAGTTTTTAGTCACGCCTATTATTTGTTGTTGTTTCACATGGAAGTAATAGAAATGAGTTTAAAATATTAGTTTTTGGGGACAACACGTTGCCAAGTAATCAAACTAATAATAGTGTACAATGAGGTTCTTAATAATATATTATTTTGATATGATGAATATTTTATGATTTCACAATCTACCTACGTAATATCACTATTTTATTTATTAATACACTGCAAATTATAATATTCTCCAAAATAAATACAGTCCGTGCATCGCACGGGTTACGTACTAGTATATTCTTAATGATATAATAATATAAGATACATATGTAAATAATACTATGAATTTATTCCTTAATGTTAAAATATTGAATTAGGTAATATACGATTCACTAATTTGTAATATGTCTCTTTTCATATTGAAAATAATCATGTGATTGAGTAGAGATATTAATTATCTATAAATTTCTTCATTTAAGGAATAATTTTAAAATTGGCAAAGTGTTGAATGCAGAACGATTTTTCTTGTAAGTAAAATGAGAAAGAGATTTTGAATTTCAAAATTTCACTTCAAACCACACTTAAATTTAGATGCAGATTTTATTAAAAATGAATTCAACAAAACCCATAATTTTAGGGGAATTTAATGCTATCATATTTTATTATTTAAAAATCTAAAAACTTTATAAATATGGTGTGCAATTAATTATGAGTTGACTTTTCCTCATAATAATTCTAGTAAATATGATGACTTTTTATATATGCATAGATTTTTATTTTATTGGCAACCATGAATATGTTTTTTACTATCTTCTTGTTTTGGTATCTTTCTACAATAAAAATATTATAAAATATATTTTCATTGCAAATTATTTTAAATCCCACCTATATATAATTACCGAATGTGCTGAGTCTACGTGGCTTCTTCTGGTTCTTCAGAATCCTACTTAGCGAATAATAATGCTTCGTAATTAGGTTTGGACAAATAATATTGATATTTTAATATTTAATAATCTAGGTTTGGACATTCCATAAATATTATTTAGCTAACTTAGGTAATATAACCCTTTAATTCCTTGTAATTTTACATAGTGAGACAATAAGTGCGACTAATAAGTCCGTGACTTTTGATTTGTTTCCTTCATTATTAGCTATTGAATTGTAAATGTATTTTAAAAGTTGATAACTTTTGTATTTGTTATCGGTTTTACATATATAATATATCAAATTAATCATCTTTTGATGATCTTCGATTGACATCCATATTGTATATATTGAAATAAATAAATTATATTTACATTTATAATAATAAAAAATAATTATATTTATAAAAATTCGTTAGACAAATAAAATTATTTTTAATTGATATATTTATGTTTAATGTAGTTATATTTTGTAAGTTAAAAAAATTATTATAATATAATACATGTAAGTCGCACAAATAAAAAATGTCGTACTAAATATTTAATAATATATATTTTTATAAAAGGTATTTAGATTTTTAACTATTTTTTCTCATTAATTTTAGATTTTAAGAAAAAAAAAATAGCAAGCACCCGTGTAATACACGAGAGTTGTACTAGCAATGTATAAATCTTTATAATACAAATTAAAAAAAGTTTGATTGTAGAAGGGATTGAGTGTTTGACATTTGCTAAATCAAAGTTATTTAATTAGTATACAAACTAAATTATAAAAAAAGCACGGGTATATATTTTGTAAAATATTTATACACTATTTAATTTTAGTTTTATTTATATATTTTAAATTGATTACATAAACAAATAATAACAACGCGCCTTTAATATTTTTCATTACATAAAAAAACGTACAACTTTTATAATTTTTATGAATAAAATACATTATATGACAACAAAGTTTATAATAAAATAATAACTAAATATTATATAGTGAACAAAAATAATTAAAACTGTATTTTCTCTTATATCAAAGAATAAATATATATACTTAAATTAAATTATATTAGTATAAATGTGTTAGGTAGATAATATATTAATTATTTCACAAATTAATTATAACATGCTCATATTTAAGATTCTCGCTAAAAAATGCTTGGAACATATATTATAATCCTATTGTTATATTAATATTAACGCTGCTTAAAAGTGATGAAAAATAAATAATAACCCTAACATTAATTAGACTTAAACAAACAGAACTGTAAAAATAACTCATTTAATTTATGGGTAAATTGCACCAAACCCCCCTGTAATATACTAAATCTTCGTGTTTTCCCCCTGTATTTTAAAAATTGCGCCATACCCCCTTGTAATATACTTTTGCATGCACACTCTCCCTGCTACGTTAACGCCGTTACAAATCCCCCTGACGGCGT